CTCTCTCTCTCTCTCTCTCTCTCTCTCTCTCTCTCTCTCCTCCACATCATGTATGTGTTTTTCTGTGTCTTTTCATGTGGACTGGCTCCTCCTCCTGCATCCCTCTATATTTCTGTCTTTTCTCTGTCGTTCCCTCTCCCTCCCTCCCTTTTTTCTGTATGGTGTGTATTGGATCGGGAGGGCTGCCCAACCTTTTTTTGATTGGTCTCTTGCTGCATCTGATGCTTGCTGATTGGCTAGTTTTGCTCACCTCTGGTGATGTGATGCGCTCTTGATTGGCTGCGTGTAATCTGTGTATGAACTCCTTGATTGATGTTTTTTTGCATTGTGTTCAACTGATGAATCTGCCGCTTAATTCACCTTCTTTTTCCCTCTTCTTTTTTTTTTTTTTGGAAAAGGTAGCAATAAACTGGTCTTGGATTTCTTTTTTGAATGCTTTCGTTCTGAAATATTTAGTTTTCTTTGTTCTGTGTGCCAATGGTTGCGTTGTTTGTGTGCGCAACTGCCTGACTTACTCACCAGGATCCTCGTTTTTCAATGTCTCTCTCCTTCAAAAGAAGCGCATGCATCAAATACCATCGCTGCTCATCAACAGAATTAACCTCTGTCATAAGTAAACAACTGTTTCAAGTGTAATGACACCTCACACTTCAAGTTCAATATGAAAACGCTGATCATCATGTGCAGAGTATCTCTCTCAGAATACATTCAGTTTAAGAAAGCTTAAAACTACAATGTTTAGATTCTGCATCAATGCTTGTTTTTCTGCTGTACTGTGTCGACTTTAGCTTCTGACCACTTTTTCTGGTGTCCAGGTGAACAACGCCACAGCTAGAGTGATGACGAACAAGAAGATGACCACCCCTTACTCTAACGGAGAGGGCCTCGCAACGCTGCCGTACGGTAATGCACTTTAAACTTCACAACAGACGATTCTATCTTCTTTTTTCCTATATTTTTTTCTATATTTTTAAAATATTAGTATTGATCTCCTTCATTAGGCATTTTATCCAAAAGTGCTGCAACTAACCACTGTTTTCAGTCGATTAGTCTGTCGATTATGTTCTCGCTTTGGTCAGAAAACAGGGAGAAATGTCGATTCATGTTTCCCAAAGCCCAAGATGACGTCGTCAAATAACCTGTTTTGTCCACAACTCAAAGACATTCAGTTACTGTCATAGTGGAGAAAGAAACTGGAATCAACTGGAGAATGTTTCCTTTTTTTTCTTCAAAAAATTACTCAAACCGATTAATCGTTTATCAAAACTGATGTGATCCGAGAACTAATCGCTAAATCATTGCAACTCTAATACCCCACAAAGCAAAAGCCTCAATAACTCTTTTCTTTTCAAAGTAGGACAACATAACTTCATGTATGTATGT